GGCGCGCGGGCCTGCGGCGGGCTCTGCGTCCCGCAGCCTCGCTCCCGCAGCCGGCCGCCCGGCGGGTGACTCAGCGGCGCCTTCGCGCGAGGTGGATGGGCCGAGCCCCGCCGAGGGGCGGCGCCCGGACAAAGCCGCGCGCTGGCGGCGGGGCCCCCCGGCGCCGGGAGGAAGGAGCGGCGGGGGGCGCGCGGTGGGCACCTGCTCGGAGCCGAGGGGGCCCGCGGTCCGCAAGGCCCGAAGGCCTCGGCCCCCGCTTCCGCCTGGCCTTACTTTGTTCAGTGTTTACGTTTCTGTTAATACGCCCGCTGCCAAAACCGGTGTGAGGTGCGGCGCGTCGGGCGCCCCGGAAGGCGGAGGGGAGCGCGGAGCTGCCGCTGACGTGGGGCTGGGAACGTGCTCTTCCTCCGGCCTCAACGGGTTTGCCGCATGGCGTCGCCGTTGACCTGGTTTTTTCAAACCCCAACTGAAGAATGAATCTCATGCTCTTGCTCCTGAAGACACTTCATAATTAAATCTTGCAGCTTCTGCCCCAAAAATGTATTTCCTGTGGGCCCCGTGCTCCCCGTGCAGAGCCCCAACCCCGTCGTCTCTCAGGCGGGCCCCTGCAGGAGCCTTGGGCTGGGCCGGGCTGGGCTCGTCGCTTGCAGGCCCCCTCCAAGCCCATGTCCTGTCCGCCCTCAGGATCACCTTGAAAGGTAGGTCAGGCGGCCACACCCTGATTCAAACTCTTCGGTGAATTGCTCGTCCCTTTAACGTGGAGCCCACACTCCTGTGGGGCCCCGATCTCGCCCTTGCTGGGGCCCCTTCCCTGGCCCCTGCCTACCCTTCTGTCCTCTGTGTTCTCACTGGTGCCACAGGGGAGTCGGTGCCAGGGCCTTTGCCCGATTCCGTTCTGAGCATCCGCCTTTTCTTGCTCATCCGGTAGGTCTCAGCCCCTCTGCGCCCTAAGAGGCCTTCCTGAAACCCGCCAGCCATTCTCAACCACTGGGTCTCAGTGTGG